GGTGCCTTCTCAGACTGCGCTGGCTTTGCGGCCAATCCTGCCAGTCACCTTGGTGGCATGTGAACTCCATCGAAGACTGGTCGTGATTGCTTTAGATTGAATAGCTCTTGCTCCAAAGCTTTGATCCTATCTTCGGCACCTAGCGAGAATGAGCTGGCTTTATCTTCCGAGACCTCAAATAGATTCGCCACTGAGACCGATGCCGTGACTGGGGTCTGATTGCATTTGTGCCACTCGTAAATCTGATCTCGAATTGTAATGCCTGGAATAGTGCGAGGAATGAAGGTACCATTCAGAAGAACAACTTTTCTGGCTGCATTTCACATGCACTTGCCACTCTTAATGCCCTCCTCGATATGCTTGCATGTTCCGGTCATGCCTCTGGCTTCTCCGCAATAGTGACAGGATCCACTCGGATTTCTATTCGTGACTGGTGGTCTGCTCGCAGTCGCAGTCTGACTCCCATTCTGCTTTGCAATTCCTCCAGTCGCAGCTGCTGTGAGCATTTGAATGGACTTGATCAAACTTTCAATAAGCAAGGAGATATCCTTGCTCTTGATCGTGGATGTACTGCTAGTCGAAGTAGTCACATTTGTCTTTACTGTGGTTGGCCCTGCACTAGTGCCATGCAACATGAACTTTGCTGCCTCGTAGATGTCGTTTACTGAGTAGGGATCATCTGGGTAATGGTCTGGCTGCTTCAACTGTAGGAGCTGTGAAATCTGATTCCATAGCTCAGGTGGAAATCCTCGAACGAATGCGCGATTGCATTCTGACTTTGAAATACGAGTCTTGTCAATGAGAAATGAGGTGATGGCTAGAAACTCTCGATGGTAGTTCCTGAGTTCTGCAATGGTCTGAATTCTCAGTCAGGCTCGCTCCCCAACTAAGAGATCCATGTCTCAAACTTCCCACTTGCACTCTGTATCCGCACCTGGTGTCACAGCGCCGCTGGACAAGAGATCAAAAGACTAAAAAAGGGAACGGTCACGTGGAACGTGCCGCCCTGATCCCCCTGATCCCTTAAGGTGGC